TTGAGAAATTTGTGAATGTGTCCTCCTAAGAATATTTTTCAATTGCAGAAAGAGTCACAATGGTTCAAGAACACAAAATTATGATAGGCCACATGATTAAACATATGAAATTATAATGTGAGTAATGCCAAGAACATTAAAAGATATAGCTAGTAGCATGGAGAGGATGCAGCGTGGAAAGAGTGAAGAAACATTGGGGAATTGTACCTATGTGCATAACATGACCAGTGAAAGTCAAAGATACTTTATAGATAAATACATTGCAGTACACAAATTGAAGAATGGTTATTTAGACCTAACTCTTTTTGGTGCAAGCTAAACATACGAGTATATTGTTTGAGCGTTTGTATTTTCCTTGGAGATGCAATTCTTTGTGAAGTTTTGTGACACACCTACTTGGTGCGTGTGTGTGTGTGATGGAGAATTTACATTTGAAAAAGAAAAAAAAGATGGCCTGATTTTCGATACACAAATTCCACCAATTCACTTGCCTAGAGTTTGCTGCTTCTTAAAAGGAGTATAAATCCATACACTAATGTCTTGGTTTACATGCAAGGATCTCTTGAACGATTCAATTTTATAAAGGGACCAGTAATATTGACACAAACTTCTTTCAAAAATATGAATCTTACGTGGCATAAAAGATGGTTGGTGCCGCTTTTTTCTTTTTCGTCCCATTACTTGCAGCAGGTGGCGCTGTGTCCGGGTTGCCTGAAAATACAGAAACTGAAATGTCTAGTAATTGATACTCTACAACAGCTTAAAGTCAGAAGTGGTTCACGGCATTCAATGTATACACCTTCAAAGAGGCAATTGCTTTAGCTCAAACTTCATATTAAATTATTTATTCAGAAGCATAGCTAAAAAATTTGGCTGCTACATTTCAATTGATGATCATCATACAAATCAGTAACAAAATAACGGAGATGAAGTACCTGAGGGCTGCGTTTCAGGAATAAATCCGCCGCCGTGACCAATAGGATCAGCTAGGGCTTGCGGATCGGGTTTAGAGTGAGTAAAATTAGAATAACGATTCTTCGACTTGCAGTTCTGCTGCCAAGCAAGAGTTGAGCAAAGAAGGGAAAGCGACTTTCCAGTACCGGTAGGAGACTCGAGCAGCGCATGAGAATGTCCATCCCTATGTGCTCGATCAAGTGTCACAATGACTCGATTCATGAAAGCTAACTGTGTCCCGTAGGGTTGGTAAGGGAACTCCACCGGAATACCACCTATATGCACCACATGCTTTGACGGTTTAAAACCTTGCGTCGCCGCCGACGACGACGACGGCGGCGGCGGGGGGGGGGGGGGGTTTTAAATTTT